CAATCTCACCTGTTTCTTGTGCATATAAGTGTGTTCCTGACAGTGCAGGTATCACAGAGGGGTATTCTGACCAACCAGTGGATAATGTTCCTGAAGAACTGCTGGTTACAACAGCAGCTTCCAAGCCCAGACAAAGGAAAAAGCAAACTCACTTTATTCCTCATCCTATGCAGACTCGTCTAAAAGATGGTATTAGCAAACCTCGTGTCTTTATTGCCAGCAAAGAGCCTGAAGCAGTAGCAGATGCTTTGCAGAACCTGAGTGGAAACATGCCATGTCTGATGAGTTTTTGGCCCTGATCCGAAACAACACTTGGTCTCTGGTTTAATGACCAGCTGGTAGGAAGGCAATTGGGTGTAAATGGGTTTCAAAATTAAAGAAAATCTTGATGGTACAACAAATAAGTATAAAGCAAGACTAGTAGCCAAAGGTTTCATCGAGTTGCAGGATTTGACTTTAATGAAACTTTTAGCCCAGTTGTAAAACCTATTACTATTAGAGTTGTACTCACTGTTGCTTTGACAAGGAAGTGGGCAATTCGTCAATTAGACATTAATAATGCCTTTCTGAATCGAGATTTGGTTAAAGAGGTTTATATGCAGTAGCCAATAGGTTTTGAAGATCCAAAAAGTCCTCATTTGGTGTGCAGATTACACAAGTCTCTTTATGGTTTCAAACAAGCACCTAGAGCTTGGTTCGAAAAACTCTATAGTGCTTTGCTCTCTTTTGGTTTTGTCTCTGCAAAGTCAGACCAATCATTGTTTATCAAGAATAACTCAACTTGTTGTATCATTGTTTTGGTCTATGTGGATGATATCTTGATCACTGGGAATGATGATGATCAAATCTCAGCTTTAGTTACTCAGTTGAACAACAAATTTGCATTGAAAGACTTGGGATCTATTGACTATTTCCTTGGTATTCAGGTGAAGCATGTTTCAGATGCTTTACATCTTTCACAGACCAAGTATATCACTGATTTACTTTGCAAAGCAAAGATGCAGTACGCAAAGGCTATGTCAACACCCATGACTCACGGTTTGAAGCTAACAGCTTATGGAAGTGATCTAGTTGAAAGTCCTCAATTGTATAGAAGTGTTGTTGGGGCTCTTCAATATGTTACTATCACTAGGCCTGAGATAGCTTTTAGTGTTAATAAGGTTTGCCAGTTTATGCAGGCTCCACTTGAAGTGCACTGGAAAGCTGTGAAGCACATACTCAGGTATCTAGCAGGGACATTGGACTATGGTTTACATTTGAAAGGCACACCTATGGGGGAATTGAGCTTAGTAGGATATTGTTATGCTGATTGGGCATCTGATTTGGATGACTGTAGATCTACTTCTTGCCATTGTATATACTTTGGCCCAAATTTAGTTGCTTGGACTTCCAAAAAGCAGCATACTGTCTCGAGGTCCTCCACGGAAGCAGAATTTCGAAGTCTAGCAAACTTAGTTGTAGAAATGTCTTGGTTGCAGTCCCTATTTGTTGGTGAGCTTAAAATCAGCATGACGAAAACACCTGTAAGCTGGTGTGACAACTTGAGCACTGTCATGCTCCCAGCTAATCCAATATTACATGCTCAGACAAAGCACATAGAGCTGGATTTATACTTTGTTCGAGAACGAGTCTTACAGAAGCAATTACAAGTAAAACATGTCCTTTCTCAAGATCAAGTAGCCGATATACTTGCAAAGGCTATCTCTAGCTCACAAACTCTCAGTGAAAAGTCTTTCCACTTTGAGGCACGGGCCACAAACGTGAGGAGCTTAAATTTCTCACTTTAACTTAACTAACCCAATTAAAATTGAGTCTGTACAAATATATCTAAGATTTAGTCCTATCTAATTTACCCTTAAATATTGCATATAAGCTTAAACCAAGTGACAGGTCCGCAATTTCCTCAACAACAAAAAAAAAAAAAAAAAAAAAAAAAGCATGTTTCAAAGCTGGGGTTAATATGGAGAAGCATCAAAATTTATCCTAAAACCTTCACTTTTATTTGTCAAATAAAACCAACACCTGAAAGCCGTATTTCATAAAAGTCGAGTATCAAACAGGTGGCATGCAAAGCAAGCGAGAAGCCAAACAACAAACCAAATCATTCAAACTCATACCCTCAAAATCAATCAAATCTTACCTTATAAGATCATATCGATCCCGGGCAAAATTAAGGCACGCAGTCCTTATCCATTTCGATTCCTTGTGACCCATTTCGCCATTCCGAAATGGGTTTCCGTCTCCATCAAAGTATCCTCTCTTCAGTAAGCACTCCATCAAGTCCACCCACTCCGGCCACGGATGCGAAATCTGGACAGAACGTTCGTCGTCTGATTCCGATTCCGATTCCGGTTCCGGTTCCGATTGCGCAACGCCGGTCTCCGGTTTCGATGACTGGAGCTCTTCAACTTCGCCAAGAACGAAATCGAGCTTTGGATTGGAACCCGGATTTTTGCTGCGGCCGTGGAATCGCGAAATGGGTGAGAGGATTTTGGAGTTATTGAAGTAGTTTCTGAGGGTAGAAGAGAGATATCCATGGCTGGTTTGGAACAGCCTATGCATTTCGTAATGTTTGGTGGTGGCGGGAAAATGCTTTGTCCGGTTAAAGACGCGTACAAATGGGTGATGTGAATTGTGAGGGTGTAAATCTCCCCTACTCTTAACTAATTACTAGTTAAATGGGCGTGTTTGAAATTTTATTTTTTTGTATGTAAATGAAAATACAAATATTTTCAATCTCAACTAAGAATTATTTTTAAAAATGTATTTGGTAGTTTTATTTAGAGATTATTTTCTGTATAAAAAAAAATTAAAACTCCGTTTGATTTTACATTTTTAAAAACATGTAATAGTATTTTAAATAATATATTAAATAATTAATAAACTCCTCAATCAATACACTAGCAATTAATTTAATATATACATATCTACTATATGTAATTATGCTTATTACTTATCAATTGTCTTGGCATACGTAAATAGTAAGCAATTAAGATACCAATTACCATACACACATATTATTAGTTAATTTATATATAAGAACATAGTAATTAGCATTAGCAATAAAGACAAAAAAGGAGAAGACGTGGAGGAAAGAAAATAGCTCGGAGATGGGAGGAAAGAAAATAGCTCGGAGATCAGAGAAAATGAAAATGGAAAAAAAGAAATGTCTCACTTTTTGAAATAAAGACAAAAACGTTTTCATTTTTTATTTTCGTAGGATACTGTCTCAAACGCAATCTTCACACCATTTTCATTTTTTTCTCCTTAAAAAACGTTTTTAAAACGAGTTTTAAACGCGTTATATAAACTTTATGTGAAGGTTGAATTACACTATGTAATTTAAATTATTTTAAACTATTGGTATATCGTCTCTCACCTATACTTTAGAAAAGAAGCTCAATATTCGTATTTTTATGCTTTGGAAAAGAATAAAAAAATGGTTGGATGCTTATACAATACGTAGGTTACAAAGTACACTTTTTATGAATAAATTTGCACAAAATCACGACAATAATTGCTTTCCTTGTTACCTGGAATAACAACGATAGTAGTCAATTCATCTGTTGTAACATCATAAAAAAAAAGCAGCAACTCTTTTTAAAGGAACAAAGAAAAAGAACACATGAAATCTAAAGGCGTAGCTAGTAAAAATATTACATTTGATTTCTGTTCTTATGAAACAAACAACTGCTAAGTAGTTTAGTAGTTGTGTGCAGTTCTGATCTGCGCACCGATAGGAGAGATTTTCTTGTCATAATTCTAAGGGGAATTTTCTTGTACACCTGGCGTACTGGTAGTCCAGTTTTGTAACCATTGAATTTGCATACTTATTTATTTTTACGTGATTTTATGTAGATCTGACGGATAAAAGACAATACATACTCATACGTTGACGTACCGGAGAAAATTCCAAATTCTATCACCTATGACTCAAACTTAAACTTCTGTTAACAATGATAATGTCATAAACCGCATAAATTTCCTCACAAAAAGAAAAGAAACAATCACCTCAAATTAGATCTCAGCTCCTCACCAAGTTACGGCTTTACCATCAAAAAAGCATAGGGAAAGTGAATAAATACACATAAAAACATAACAATCAAAATCACACTAAAAAAAAAATAAAGAAAATTCCAATTTAGAATTCACGCACAAAATGATCAAGTGAGTGCAGAAAATGTAAACAATACATTCAATACGACGGAACATCCAATATCACGAGAAATTAGTGTTAGTGAGATTCTAATGCATACATACCACTAAAGAAGAATAGGTTTTTTTTTTTTGGGTTTTGAATGAAACATTTCGTTCAACTTTTTTTTTTGGCCGCAGGAGAAACAAATCTGGTGCGGTAGGCCACACTAAAAAACTCGTGTGTCACCCTATGATTTGTTGTTCATTTAAGTGGAATCCACGGGGCAAGTTTCAATTCCTTCACACAAATTAGTGGCTACGTGTCAATTACATCGGAGAAAAGAAACGATCTCACAAAGGAATGCAACACAAAATCCCACGCAACTCAAATGGGGGCCAACACTATCTGCCACGTGTCACTCTATGATTAGCTAAAGGAGAAAGTGGCGAGGCCCGCCTGTTGCGCTAGCTGACACGCTTGTGCCCTTCCCCAGCTAGAAGCGCGCCACTCTGCGCGTGGAGTTCATGCATGAATCTGAACCGTTGAACTTTTTGATCCGACTACTTGCAAAAATTTCCTGTTTATTTTTTTATTAGTATTATTTATTAATTTTAAATTGATTTATGGTTCGATTTTGTCCATTTTAACATCATTTTGTGTCAAATATTTGATACCATTAAGATAAAAATACTATAAATAATTAAATTAAATTAAATAAACATACATTAAGATAAAATAAAATCACACTAAATTAAATAAAACAAAATAGAATAGAATTAATTTAAAAAATAACTAAATAAGTTATTTAAAATAACAGCTATATAAATTGTTTAAAAAAAGAGAAAGAAGAAAACAAAATCTGATTTTGTTTATTCTTTTAACAATATATTGTGCCAAATTGCTCAAATAAAAATATTATAAATAATTTGAATAAAAATAAAAATAAACAAAAATATGCTAATATAAAATAAAACTACATTAATTAAATTAAAAAAACACAACAAACAAAACAAAATAAAACTAACATTAAACACAACAAGATAAGTTATAATTAGTTTTCTCCCGCTTTTTGCTTCAAATCTTTTTCTTATTTTGTACTATTTTTTATGTCTTTTATTTTTTTAAAAGAATTTGTATAGCTGTTATTTTATATGAATTGCGCTTGCGCACGTGGAGCGCGTGTTAAAAACTAGTATTAAAATTCAAATGTCACGCGTTAGAAATGTAAAAAGAAAATGAGTGCTTTTACGCATAATTGCGTGCAATAAAAAAATAATCACATGTAATGAGTGTATGCTGCTAGCGTGCACCTCTCGCGCTTGAATAGTTGGGCGTTTAGTGCGCATGTACACATCGTTACAATGAGACTTTTTTTAAATCAATGCAACTTTTCAAATTAAATACGTGTCGTTGAATTGATCAAGTACAAACGATCCAACGGCTAGATTTGAATATCTTCAGATTTAATCTGACATTTGCTTTAATTTTATGATTAAGTCGGGAGGATTCGTATATTGGCTTAAAGAGGGCTCTAATTGTATTACTGCTCTCAATAAATTTATTGAGTTTCCTTAAAAAGAAAGAAAGAAAGAAAATAAATTGAGACATGTATTTTCAGCATAGATGATATCGGATCAAGATGATTAAGGCAAGCCAGCAGCTGGCCCATGGTTTACTTTTGACAGTGCCCCTCCAGATCAATGGAGAGAAAAAAATGAATGAATTCGGAGCATGGATCGACCTCTAGATGAAAAAGCTTGGGATTGAACTCCAGACTATCCTCAGAGAGTTTGCCTCTAGATTCACAGGAACTCTCAGAGACTGGTTCCAAAGCCTTAGAGGATACAGGCAACTCTAATTCATCAAAGCAGACACTGTAGCAGGAATATTTGGACTCATATACCAAGAGTTCATCGGAGATTACAACCTCATTGACAAACAGATGCGCCAAGAGTACTTTGAAATGAAGTGTTGTTCCCTGAAAAGGAAGGACATCGAGTTTCATTATCAAAGGATATCACGACGGTACTATATGCTAAATGGGTTCCATGACCCTAACCTCCGACAAGTGTACCTATCATCACTACCACAGGAGCTACAACTCGAACTCCAGAGATCCCTCCTTGCCACAAAGAAGGAAATGAAGGAAATGAAGGATATCTCCATTGGAGAAATTCATCAATTGGCATTGGCAGCTCTCAACAAACTCTGTGAGACGCAAGAACTATTCTCCTCCATGATGAAGGAAAGGAATAAGTTCAAAAAAGCATGCAAGAAGATGGCCCCATCGAATACATACCACCTTCCACTAAAAGACATAAAGTGTGGTACCCACATGATAAGCCATACGAGCGAGGTTCAACGAACACAAGCTCATCATCATCAGACTACACTTCCATCTACAATGACTAGGCCTTCTCAGCTGTCCACTCTGTACAGAAGTTTGTCCTCTTCTGTTTAAGTCAAAAGTAGAATAGTAGCTTGTCTGCCACTCCACCGAAAGTGGCCTTATCTTTATTTAATTAGTCACATACAGAATAGTAAGAAATCTGCTTTACCTAAAGTCTTTTGTTTTCTTGTAACATAAGTCAAAAAGTTAATAGTGTAATTCTTATCCCGTCAGATAAGATCAGAGTCCTTTGTGTCCATAAACCATAAACAAAGAAAGACCCTAGCACTGTATAGTGTCTTTCTGTGTGGTACCCATATGATCATGTGGGTACCACACTTTATGTCTTTTAGTGGAAGGTGGTATGTATTCGATGAGGCCATCTGGAAGGTACTCTGGGTCTTGTGAGTCTTGGAACAGTGCCGAACTGTAGTCAGGCTGACCTTGCGAGCCTTGTTGTGATGATGGAGGAATAGAGGCGAATGTTGGTGCGATTGTTGGTGTGTCTTTCCTTTCTTTCCATGTCGTCATCGATCTGTTTGAGTTCAGCTTTCACTGATTCTAGGTTTCTAAAGCTAAAATTTCTCAAAAAATATCACATTTTAACTTGAATTAAAAATTTAAATCCACGAAGTAAACGAGACCTAATTAATTCATAATATTTTCTCTTGTTCTCCATCGTCACATTTTAACTTGAATTAAAATTTTAAATCCATGAAGTAAACGAGACCTAATTAATTCATAATATTTTCTCTTGTTCTCCATCAATAGATCGGTTCTTCTTTTCATGTGGTACAACTAGTTTTCAATCTATCGCAAATCCTCGCTGAGAATGTACTTTGCAAATGAGGTAAAATTAAACTCCAATTGAAATGATGAAATATACTGGAAAGTGATTAGAAAGGACAATAAACAACTAGACCTGCGTGATGGTGGAGGATAAGAAAGAAACACTGCGAGGTAGGGCCGAAAACCTTTTTAATTAAAAAGTTATAATCATAAGGAAAATTAATTACATTACATTAACATTATAATCGCTCCATCTATCCTAAAGGCCAGAAAAGGGAGTAATAAAATAAGTTATCTCCCTTTCCCATCATATATAATCATTTTCAGTTGAAAAAAATTAGAGAAGACAAAATATATACAGAACTTATTAATTTTGCATATATATTCGCTAGGTAGCTGTATGATGGAGAAAACACACCTACCAAAGAGAAAAAAAAAAACAAGCATAATAAATATAATTAACGATAATAAAGGCATGGTAGCAAATTGCAAACATAGAAAGTTAGAAACAAAAGCCTATCAATGACATATTGAAGTGAAAAACTCATGGTCGATCGTTGCAATTTTCTAATTCAAAATAATGTTGCTATTTGTTCATCGATTGATATATGTACCCTTTTATCAGCTCGATGTTAAAGCCTTGATTAATTACTTTAACATTGCACAATTGCACATTCTTTTTTATGATCATCGTGATTAAGAGATGAAAATCCCGAAAGATCATCAAGGCCAAATACAAAATTCCAAAACCATGAAACTAAACAAGGAAAGTAAAACAGGAAAATGTACTCTTTTGATCGTTTTCTACACTTTCCTTTCTCCAAAATCTTCCCCAACTAAGTCTCCGATTTTCCATGGCTTTTTAGGAATTAGACTGCCAAATTAAAGGCGATTAACGAACTATTTACAAGACGTTTTAGTTTTTCGCCTTTGCTAATTAACTAAGAGCACAAGCCAGTACTTCATCTTCCTTATGTTGTTTTTTAGGAGATGAAAGCCGTTCGACCAAAATGTCCAAAGCTTCCTTCATCCACCAGTGCTGACAAACTTCTCTGGCTTCCGCTGCAGTCATCTGTAACACAAATTGTTCTTGTCTAGTAAGTTAACATTAATTATATGCTTAATTAACTAATCTTTTCATAATCATAAATCATAATAGTAAAAACTTTATGAATGACTATTACTTGCTAATATACTAATAATTCTTGAATTAAACTACAAAACTCCATGACAAAAGTGTGAGAATCTAATTAACTGACCAGTTGTCTAAGCAAAAAACTTCTATTGTGTCACTATAATTATTGTTTAGACAAACTACTATTGTTATTAAAAGTATTTATTGCGAGGCTTGATCTTATATATTTTGAATATTGTAAAAAAAAAAAAACACACATAAATATATGCTAAATAGCTATAAATTAAATATGTGACATACATACCCATATTCTCCGGCGGACATTTTTCTCCGGCCAGAGATCAAGTTGCTCCTTAACGAGCAAAGGAAACATGTAGCCTTCATAGTATGTACCGCGACTTTTGCTAATGAAGCTCCAATTGCCCAATTGACACTGCCATGCATGAAAATTATCATGAGATCTTAATTACCGAAACTCGATTAGATTAACTAAAAATTAAGTACTATTGCTTGTGATTAATTATTAGTTTATTTCCATGTCAATGATAATTATATGTATAATAATGCACTATAATTACCTCAACATTACCGAGTACCCCAGCTTCTTCCAAAGATTCTCGAGAAGCTGCTTCTTCTACAGATTCGTCAAGCTCCCAACCACCCTAATAGGGACGTAAATTATAATTAATTAAATGCCACGTGAAGCTGAGTCATGCATGCATAATCAAGAGATGAAATCTACGCTCCTTCTAACATTAATTAATTATCGTCCCCTTTCCTCTTTTCTTTTCTTTATTTATTTTTTGAATATTATTCATGAGTCACATTACTTCTTATTGAACACCGACACAAAAATATTTTTACTTTGTTCAAGATATATATAATTTGATATGTCTATTGTTAGAACTATATATGTATATATATATATATATTACTATTGCTTCAATGATAAATGCGATATATGCATAATTTTATGCATAATTTGATATGTCTATTTTGTTAGAACTATATATATATATATATATATATATATTTACCATTGCTTCAATGTTAAATGCCTAATAGAAAACAAAACCAAAATTTGGATATGCTTGTCGAGGACTAGATCTAACTGGCACCACCTCCTTAATTTTTCTTCTTCTTCTTGATCTTTTTTTTTTTTAGAAAGATGAGAGAAGAAGATGTAAAACTCTAAAAAAAATAAAAAAAGAAAAAAAAAGTAATAGTGATAAAAATGAGATTGAAATATTGCCAATAATTATGTTAAATACCTTGGGGAACATCAACCCTTGGCCTTTTTGTGAACTGATCACAAGGACTTCCAATTCATTGCACATGGCACCATCATTTCCATTTTTGTATCTGTAAGGTATGCACCTGTAGCAATAATATTTCACATTAGAAGATTATTAACCAAAATTAATCTGGGCCCCAGATGATAAGCTGAATATATATTTATACATATGTGTGTTATAAATTTATATTGTAATATTCATGAACATATGTATGGATGATCAAAATTGACTTTTCCCCATTCCAAAAGATAACATTGACATGTATATATATACATAAAGTGGGACCCATATATAATTTTTATAATCCGGGAAAAAAAAATCAAAATTAATTAAAAAGGGAAAGCGAAAATACACACCCTACAACTTGGCGGCGGCCCATATGATTATACCGCTGCAACTCCCTCCCCGTGCGAGAAACCACACAAGTCATGGTTTTATATATATGTTTTCGGATCAAGATATAACTGAAAGACGTGTGTATATATATATGTATATATATGTGCAAACGAAGAAATACAGAAGATGTATATATAGATAATATTGACGATCACTCTCAGAGAAGAACCCAGACAGGCTTGGTTATATATATGGCTATATCGTGAAGTGGGAAAAAAACTTAATTAGTTTAATCCAACTATAAAGAAGAAAATGGATGAGACATTGAAGATGAGAACAGGCAGGACAAATAACTAAAAATGGGTGTCCAAAACTTCTCCTTCTAGAGGCAAAAAAAGGTTCATGATAGGCTGGCAAAAACGGACATATATATAGGCAAAAGTTTTTTGTCGACACAGTTAAAGAAATTAAACCAAAATAATAATAATAATAAACAGATATAGAAAAATGGTTGATGGGTAATGTACAGTTAATTACGTGTGCCATATCGCATATGTAACAAGAGCGCCGTGAATGAGTAGGTTTTATTTATCTTTAGTTATTTAAATAAAAATAAAAATAATTGAAAATGATTCCATGTTTATTTTAATATTAGTATTATTATTATTCACGCCCTTATCGGCGCTTCTTTTTCTCTGAGGTGGATGAGCTTCTGAGTCATTTCCCCAAATAATATTTTTGTTGTCGTAATCCGACTGTACACGCGGCGAAATATTAATGGCTTTCTTGAAGGTGAAGTCAATAACATGCTCACGTGTACAAATGACGAGCCCAAAAGACATTGAGGGGTTGTTATTTTGGGGTTTAACTTGAGTATAATTCTTAAGTTGAATTTGAGTTATAATTTGAGTTAAATTTATAACTTGAGTTTGTGTTTGATTGTGTACATTTGAGTTATAGTTTGAGATAAAAATTTTTTTGAGTTTGTATTTGAGTGAGTCAAAACTTGAATTTGTATTTAGATAGTATTTTAATAAAAACTCAATGCTGATGAAAAGTTTTAATAGGGTATATGGGCTGAGTTTTATTCGCCTTTTCGTTGTCAACGTATAGAAAAAAAAATCATCTCAATCAGAATTAAAACGAAAAAGTTATAGCATTTTTAATAATAGAAAAAATATTGTTCATTAATTTGAGTTCGAGTTTCTGAACTAGAGTTGAAGGGGAAACTTGAACTCGAGTTTTAGTCCTAAACTCGAGTTTGAACTCGAGTTTAAACTTAAAAGAACATGAACTCGAATAAAATTGTAACTCGAGTTGCTTTTTTTTGAGTCTTTCACTCAAAAGAACAAAAGCCCTGAAGAATCTAAATTTTATTGGGCCAATTCTTTTTTTTTTTTTTTTTGAAAGAGATTTGGGTCAAGTCTTTTGGAATAATATTAATATGTACATTATTAAATCGTCATCACTTAAAAAAAGAAAAGAATTACCGCGTAGAACGATATGGGCTATTCTCTAAACAATATGTGCTCTGCTCTAATACATAATGCATATTTTTGTTTTTAATTAAGAATCAATCATAATATGCAACATTGTTCAATATTTCATTCAAGACAAACTTGATAAATTGATAATGATAAAGAATCTCTATATTCAAAACCCTCACATTTGATATGAAAACCCCCTCATAGTCATAAAAGTACATTCGACTTTGTTTGTTTTTTTTTTGGTTGCTAAGTGGCTCTATAATCTTTAAGTAAAGTTGCCATCAAGAATACTATATGCCTCATATGCCTAACGCCACTTTAAATTACTTATAATATCCTACCACCTTTGTATATATAGAACTTGCAAAGTTAGATGTGAACATATTTTCTTTGAATTTCTTTTTTTTTTTAGTGTAATTTTGTTGCCACATTTTATGCTTTATACCTAGAGGGCATATATGAGTGAGAAGACGTGTATGTTTAACGTTTTGTTTGAAAGTTAGAATTATAAATTAATTCATGGGTGTGTAAAACAATCTCTTATGATAATGGATAATTTTAAAGTTAAAATTATAAATTAATTCATGGGTGTGTAAAACAATCTCTTATGATAATGGATAATTTCATTCTGTCATTGTCTTGATGACACGAGTTCTTCACCGAGGCAATTCAGAAAACCATAAATTAACACTTTTTCAAAGAAACACTATCCTATTGTTAGGTCGTTTTGTCACCTCTCTCCATCATTCTTAAATGATTTATTTTCTACTAATCTCATTATTGACCGTCTTTTAATTAAACATACATAGCTCTTTTTATGATCCCTTTTGCTTTGTTTTTTGTTTTTTTTTTTTTGTTTTTTTTTTTTTTGCCCCAATAGCTTGAGCTTAGTCATAAAGTCATAAATATGTATATGTGTGTATTTAGCGTGTAAAAGAGTATTTTTTTTTTGTCCGAGCCTTTCTTGGCTTCTCCAAATTTCTTCCCCAAAGATTATAAATATACAATGTATATATAACTAACATTATTAATTCAGAGCACATCTTTGAATGTTACATACATACGTATGTACGTACGTGTGTGTATATATATGTGCTTAATTTACTCGAATATGTCTAAGCAAGAATTTACTGTATTAAAACAATAGACATTTGTTTTTCCCTAAAAAAAATAATTTACTGTATTAAAATTAGCTTGCTTATGATCACGAACTAGTTTAAATGTTAATTAAGTATATATTCAAAAATTAATGTACTCGTAATTAGGCAATATTTACAAGCAATCGGAATCAGGGATACTTGTTTCCTACATCATTCCTCTTTAACCTAATATTTAACCTTTGCTTATTTTATAAATTTGATATAAAAATTTTTGGTTCAAATCTCTTTTTCCTATAACATTTTTTTTTTCTCACAAAAATTAAATTTATGCTCAAATTTTCTGTTCAAATTACCTATGAATTACCAAAAAGTTCATTAAGCATTTGTGCAAAAATTCAATATATATATGCATATAATATATGAAGTCTTTTAATACAACATGAAGATAATATTTAGAGTAATTGAACTAAATTAGGAGTTAATTTGCTGTAACTGGGGAAGATCTTTTGTTCGATGTGTTTCATTCTATATATAATTAGTGCATAAAATCAATCGAATATATACTTCAATACAAGTATAGAACGACCGAAATAAGTGTAAAAGCATCTGCAATAGAATGCTATGATTACTATACTAAAGATAAATTTGGCATTTAAGTGTAAAAATAACTCTATATTGTATTGTCATTTGTTGTGCTAAATTTACCGATTATTATAGTTTATAGTAAATTTACCACCAAGTATAAGATATAGAAAATTTGACATTTAATGTTGTTATTAGTTTATGTGTTACCTAATTTTAATTTAATCATTGCAACATTATTTCATTTTATAATTATTTAAAAATTAAAAGTTTACTTTTATAACTTTTAAAGTTTAATGATTCTTATAAAACTTAGATTTAGCATTTTAAAATTTATATGACATTATGTATTGGAGTACAAATAAAAGTAACATATTAAATATACTATTATCACACTTTTTGGTGCGAAATACATAATTGACTTTAATATTTACTTTAGAGATGCCTAATATTCGTTGAGTGAAGCTTACAATCTAAACAAAAAAAAATGACACTAAATTAAGTAATTTAAACAAAAAGGATCATCTAAAATATTTACCGTACACAGAATCTGATCTGGATCAATACCCAACATGATCTAAAAGTTTTTCTTTTTACTTAACATTTTGTACTAACATATGTATATATATTATTTGAAATTAAATATATATTTTTATTTTGAGAGCATCGTGTTTGGCATTATTTTTAGAAGTTGTTTTTTAAGGAGTTACAGCAGGTCAGAGTTTTTAGTAAATCTTGATTTTGTCCAACAACTTTAAAAACCACTGCCAAACAATAAAATTTGAAAAGCATGTCATAAGTTACTTTTGTACAAACTGCTTCTGCTGTCATTGGTCAAATTTACTAAAATAACCTTAATAATAAAACTCAATTCTTTATCTACTCATTTATTTTTCGTACCAAATTAAAACATATATATTTCAAATATTTTTCATACCAAATTATAAAACATATATATTTTAAATATTTATTTAAATATTAAAAAAAATAATATATGATGTGTTAAATTCTACTCAAATATTTTTACACTTATCAAAATGTTTAAAAATAACAACAACAAATAATAAATTTAATAAATTATTTTTATAAATATTTTAAATAATAAATTAAAATCATATTTTTTTTAGTATTTGGTGTAATAGCATTTATTAATATTCATCTTAAAAATATAAATGAAACTAATTGTAAATACGTGTGCTAAAATATGTTCGACAAAAAATAGCAAAAAAGAAATTTAGAAGAAAAAAAAAAAATAAAAAACTAAAACAATGAACTGAAACAAAATGTGTCGCCCTCAAAGGAAGACTCTGCAAGTCGAGGTTTGAAATGGTCGGACTCACATGGAGTGGAAAAACCGTGTATATCCGCCCACTTCCGAAGAATAATCTGGCCCCACTTTTGTTCCCTTATTGTTTTTCTTTTTCTTTATTTCTTCTCTTTGGACATACAAAATATAGACTTGGACTTGGTTTAATCTATTAGACTCTTCCCGGCTAAATAAATTATTGGGCAGTTGAGAATTGAACTGTTCTGATCTCATAGTCGAAAATTTGTTTCTGATTTCATTTGAGCTTTAAGCTTATAATTAGCTGCCAAGAGAGTATACTGCTTTCTAGATTGTAGGCATTGGATAAGATTGAAAGAGACAAATCTTTTAATTTTTTATATGAGAAAATTGTTAAAATTACTCTTAAAATATATAGATATGAATTTTTATCTTTTATTATTGATTAATATTCTTTTTTATCAAAATAATTATTTGATAAACAAAATATTAATAGGTAAAAATTCAGACAATAATGATCAAATAATTATTTGATAATTATTTGTCTCCTTTATTCTTTTTCTTATTTTGAGTAAGAAAGTAAAATAGAGGGTTCTATTTAGTTGGAAGGAATGAAGAGAGTTGGAGGAACGAAAAAATGAAAGACCGACAGGATTATAATAATTTTCGTATTTAGCCGAAGTTAAATAATAATTACTCATTTAATTACTATATTACCAATTTTATTATTTATCAATAATTTTTCAAAAAGGTAAAATAGTATTTTTTTTAAAAAAAACTTTAATTTGATTTTTTTTAAAAATTATTTCACTAATTTTTGGGTCTGGAGGGACGCGTTCCCTCCGCCTCTTCCCCTCCGCAGTATTTAGTAAAAGATGGTTGGAGAATGGAAAAAGCGTTGAGAATGCACATGATCATTAAACCATGTTAGGTGAGGCTCTAAGGAATCATATGGGCATGACAATTTTGAATAAATATATAAGATCATA